AAATATAACGAGAAAATGTGACAAAAAAGGGAAAATAAATAATGAAGAATAAAATTGAAAAAACATTAAATATTAAAATAAATCTAAATTAAAACTTATAAAATAAATAAATACTTTTCAAAAATTTAAAATTTATAAATAGGTGTTTTGATTTCATACTCATAGAAGCACGCAAATACTATCCCTTCGGTGCTCCAACGCCTCAAAGAAGTGATAAGCCTGCCATCTGCAATTTTATATACATAGACCGACCATGGGCCACTCTGGCCCAGAGTTCAAAGCTGCCTTGCAAGTATAAACCCATTTAGAAACATGGCCCGTGGGTAAAATACGGATTAACATTTACACAAGCAGTGTTCTGATCCAAAACAAATGCGCTGACGGTTAACTCGATTAGTTGGGTAGAAATGAAATATTAAACTCTATTTATATACCGTCACTTCTAATTTTAGGGACGGTCTTTGAAGGTTCACAAAATTAAAAAAAAAAATGTAATTGACAGGAAATAGAAGGATTAGTGTACTGCACTCATTAAATTATTGGTATAAATTTTAAAAGCATTCCAAAACAAAATATTTTGAGTTATTCCAGAGAAAAATACTTTCTTTCATTCGCATCTCTCTTAGTCTCAACGAAATCCAACCCCTCATTACTTAAAATGTTCGTCGAGAAAGATATGACAGTAGGTAAAGGTGATATGTTCTTATGAATAGAAGGGAGAATCACGACAAAAGCAAAATATTTCGTTGTTTTTTTCCTAAAGGCAACTACCAATAGATTCCATGCAATTGTTTACAAAATGTTCATGTTGCAGTTAATTTGGAAACAAAAAAAAAGGAACCTCAGAACAACTTACGTTAATTGGTAATAATACAACAGCGCAACTTAAAAAAATTTCTCTAACACTGTGTTCGTGTTGCCTGAGAAAGACGTGAAATTTTCACTAAGAAGCTTCTAAAGCCCCACAAGAAAACTGCGTTTATCAACATGAGGGTTGGGGGGGGGGACAATTTTTATGGAAACATTTGGGCTCGTTTAAAATGATTTATAAGCAGCTTTTAAAATTAGTTTGCAGAATATAATGCAAGTATGTGGGAGTAATTTTATCTTAGCTTACATGAAATGTGCTTATTAGTGTTTATCACTGTGATTCCAAACAAGTCTATGTCCATCATCGTTCAATAATTCAAGGCATGTATTATAATTTAAATTGGCGTGGGGGTATTAGGGAAACTGTCATAGATGATTATTTTAGGCTGCGTTTTACTTTCAAATTTTCCTACTTAAACACAAATTTGATTTAACTTGTGTATTAGGGTTTATATTTTCAAATGTTGAATACAACGCTTTCTTACGTCTCAATATTCAATAATACTATCACTGTATCCCTCTCATACTGTGAAAGTTTAGCTTATGTATTACTGAGTTGACAATAAATAATAGGTGAGAGTATTAGAGAGAATATATAATAGCGAAACATGGAGAAATTTATCTTTCGAAATATTCAATAGATTTTTTATTTTCATTCTATCAAATCTGGATCACAACAAATATTACGCTCTTTCAGTGTTTTTCCAAACTGATCATGATCACCGAAGAATTACAGTCAGGTGAAAAATTAAAGCTAATTAAACTAGAATTATTTTCCACACAGAGTGGGTTCCATTCATTTTAAGAGTTCTACTATACAAGCTAATATACAACTCATATATAAGGAGGGTAGAATCAGAAAATCTCAATAATGGGCCTGTTTGTGAAAGCGTTTAAAAATATTTATAAGTACATTTTTGTAAATTACGATTAAAAAGCTACTTATAAATTATTCTAAATGGGTCTAATATTACTTAAATGCAACTATCTTTTGGATAATGTTATAGTGAAACTCAAATTTATGTTTTCTAAATCTATACTTTTTTTTTTGAAAAGAATTGCTTGGATTAACTTTCTAGAAGTATGATTTTATGGAGTTCAAAGCATACAAGTAAAATGAGTTTTGTCTCCGTTTATGTAAAAACAATTTTTATTCTTTTAAAGGCAATCAAACACCCCCTAAATCAAATTCAAGATAAGTGGGGAAAAAAAATCACCAGAGTCCAAACCGATAGCAAAATATATTGATGATATATTCACAATGACAAGTGTCCCTGACTGCACATATATTTTTGGCAACGGAATCTTTGACCTTAATTAATTATTATATTAAAGCATTTCAAAAGGAGAAATATGTGAAAGAGAGAATAAAGTGTACCAGTTGAGGAAGCAACCAATGTAAGAATTTGGTGGGTCAATTATAATAAAAACATGAGGGGTGTTTAAGTGTACTTGCATGGTTGGGCAATGCAGCCACCCCATACTTCATAGACCAACATGTTTTAATAATAAATTGTATCTCCAATAGTCGCTTTGGAATCGTTACGTTCAACAAAGCAATAGTTTACACACACACACACACACACACACACACACATTATATAACAAAATGCTATAATAGTCTACGACAGTTTCTTTATTTATTACTTCTCTAGATTAATGCTTTTTATTAATTATTATCTTTGTTATTGAAGAGTAAATGCTTTTAATTAAAATCATAAATCGCGTCTGTGGACCTTCCATGAAATGTCTTTTGTATATATATGTATATGTATTATATGCACACACACATATATGTTCATTCCAGCCTTCCCACAATTTTATTCTTTTGATAGATCACCATCTGCCATCTGAAGTTACAATAAACTTCGATTAACATAATTCGGATTCAAGTCATATATTGTGCTTCGAATCAGGGTAGTTCCTCCAAAAGTCTCTTTTTTCATCCATTCATTCATACATATTCAAATTTGCTACCTTATACTTAAGGTCCATTGCCATTAATATCACTAATTTACGCACTAGTACATGTTTTGTATAATTTTGGCCGTAGTGTCGGTCCTGCTGGTTGGCTTCTTCCAGAGTTGCGTTGACTATTAGTGGAGGGGGACAAGCCAACCGTGTGTGTGTCTATATATATATATATATATATATATGTATGTGGGGGTAGTTGAGAAATTAATATGACTCAACATAACTCTCTCAGCTCCATCAAATCAATTAATTGACCTGATTCACCCACCAGCAGAAAATACTAGTGGGATTAATTCAGGAGTAGTTCAAGAATTCCGTTGCAAGTAACCAAGGTTGCCAATTTTAACGAAGGATGCCACGTCTCTACCACAGGATGAATATCCCAGCCCCAGCCCCTTTAATTGACTTCACTTCAAATACAAGCTCATCGATCGTCACATGCGTCCTTCTTTTCTGAAGACTCTGGAAACGACAATTTAAGGGGTGTTTGGATAGAAATCAAACCATAATTTCAGAAGTGCTTTTACGGTTTACGAAGTAAATATGTGGAGAAATTTGCTTCGTTTTATGGAAAAGTGCTTCTGAAACCATGGTTTGGAGGTTGCCAAACATTCCCTAGATACCAATGACAAGCAACAAATATTTAAAAAGGAAAATGATAAAAAAAAAGTTAAAAATTTGTAAATACCAAAATAAGAAATGTCAACAAAAATTTGTTGTCATTTACGGATTCAGTGTTGTTAACATCAAATAAAGTATTATATCAAATCTGATTTGAGATTTAGTAATTTTTAACTTTTTTTTGTCATTCTCCTTCTTTAAAAATGTTCATAGGCCAAGCATATTGCGCCTCTCTCTATATGTATATATTACGTTTGGTGTCAGATCAAGCTAATATTGTTTAAGCTATTAACTTGATAATATGACCAAGCAAGCCATTACATAAGTTAACAAGGGCGGTTAATTATATATCCGCACAGATATAAACTATATTATTCTCGGCAACACTCAAACCTGGCTCTGCAAATTTTTTCATAAAAAAAGGTGATAATTCCTATTATGATTGATAGGTCTCGTTAGGCTCCAGTTGACGACCCTCAAATAAAGGGATCTGTATCCTTTTTAGGGCCTATTTGGCTAACTGTCCAAACCATGGTTTGGGCAAAAAAATTGTTAAACACTAAGAAAAAAGTAGAAATCATGATTTTAAGCCAAAACCATGGATTTAGGCTCAAAACCATGGTTTCAGGAGAATTTAATCCATTCTGTTTCTGGGTTAAATTGGAAAGCATGATTATGCTTGTTAGAATAGATCTCAATAATAATATGACTTTAACGCTTCTCAATTATTTTTTTATAAACATATTTAATCTTATATTTTATAAATATAAATACACATATTAATTAATTATTAATTATATTATCTTATAAATTATTAATTATGTTGGTTAAAAAAATATTATTAACAATTTTATTCCTTCAAATTAAAATATATTATAAAATCTATCTTTTATGTAATTATCATATTAACTTATGTCTTTTTTTAGTAATTTGCACATATAAAAAGTGTTTTTGATAACAACTATCTAAATACTCTCATTTTATCAGAATCACTTTTTCACAAAATTTATTCTCCCAAGAATCTATTCTCCAGAAGTTATTTTCTAAACCATGGTTTGGTTTCATCCAAACACCCCTTATTCTTTTTCCTAATCAATATAAGCAAACAGATCCCATGCTAGCAGCTCCATTCTCACATGTCCTTGCATGTATATATAGTTTATTGCTCACACACACACACATGTATGCCAATTTCCTTGGATGCTACCACTCGTCCACATGGCTTCAACCACCACCATTCCCAACAAAGCTATTCTCGCTCACTTCAACCCCACCAATTCGCTTAATCACAGACGCTGCTTCAAAGATTCTTCATTTCCTCACACCTTTTCCGCTTCATCATCAATCTTTCGCGGCAGAATTGTTCTGAGGAGAACTGTTTTTGGAATAAAAGGATTCTGGGTACCAAAGACTGTGAAGAACTTGATTGAACCTTCGGCTTTCAAAAAGAGCCATAGTGATGGAGGACTTCGAGGTCTCGAACCAGAAACTTGTCTTGACGGGTTATCCGAGTCGATTCCTTCAACGTTTGTGTTCCGCAGGATGGAATCAATCATCAATAGACTGGTTCGTAATTTGTTTTACTTGTGCTCATCGAGTTTAAAATTCTGATTAGGATATGGTTCCGTGTGTTCATATATATACCTAAAAGTTGTGATATCTCCTTTGGCCAAAGCCTCTATTGCTCCCCTTCACTTCGACGGGCTAATATATCTGGGGTTGTTTTACAGAGCAAGTGGATGACAACTATTCTATTTAATGCGTACATTATATGGAGGCATGATGCAGAAACCCTTTGGTTTGCACTAGGATGTGCTTTAAATATGATGCTCTCGGTGGAGCTGAAGCATATACTGAACCAGGAAAGACCTTCTACCCTCAAATCTGACCCTGGGATGCCCTCTTCCCACGCCCAAACTTTCTACTTCATTGCCATGTTCACCATTTTGTCATGTAACTTCTCCCACCTATTAGAAGTATTGTAATATTATTAGATGCACTCCACTAGTTTGCACTCTCTTCAGAATAATTTTGTGAGAACAGATTATATAATAGTTGGAAACTTGAATTATGCAGGTATCAAATGGGCAGGGATGAATGAATTCACCATCACAGTCAGCGGACTGACACTGGCATTTGGTTCTTATTTTGTAAGTGTGTGCGTACGTGTGTTGTTGCCTAGGTTCTATTCCTTTGTTTAATGAAGCTAAGTAACCTTATTACGCTACTATTACTGATCATAATTGAAGGATGCATCGCATGCCTACTGTTTTCGAGTTATTAAACTCACATGCAACGTTAAAATAAAACATCTATATATGTGTCTCTCGAGTCCTTCATCGAGGTATTAGCTGATAAATAACAATAATGGTGTGGTAATTTTGGCAGTCATACCTAAGAGTGTCGCAGCAGTTTCACACAGTAAGCCAGGTGGTGGTGGGCGGAGGCATTGGGATGGTATTCAGTTGGTCATGGTTTTGGCTTTGGAATACTTTGGTGGCCAGTGCGATTGAATCCTTCTTCCCTCTTAAACTCACCCTTTTTTCTGTCTCACCCGCAATCTGCTTGGCTTATACTTTATATTCCATTCTCCAATGGCTGCAACGACGAGCCTAAAGGTTCCTCCGTTATTTCTTATCTCTCTTCACAGTATTTTGCACCATGTTTCATCTAATTAGCTTATTCATGGCAGACTTCAACTGCTAATTAATCTGGTAAATTGTAAAAAGTATTAATGAAAAGTCATTCACTAGTATTGTTGTGGTATGTGTGTATACTGTATATACATATTCATTCAAATTTCCACTATATGGACCAAAATGCGCGCATTTATTTTATTTGACTTGTCAGAGTCGTGAATCCAAGAGACCAACGCCATATATTACGTCCCACACCGGAATATGTATTTCTGACCAAGAAGGTGGAGTCTGACAAGTTAATTTGCATGATTTAACTTGGCTTCTACCCAACAGTCTATCATAATTTTTTTTTTCAAAAACAAATCCTTATATGCCAGACATATATTGGTGTTTCAAATGTTGATGATATATATATATATATATATATATATCATCTTGACATTTAAGATGATATTGTGCTCATCTGATACGGCATTTGAGAGGGTAAAAGTAGCTTATAACTGCAAAAGTCAGTTTGTAAAGTTGGGAGCTGTTGACTAATTTGACTCATGAGTCAAAAGCTACTTTTTTAAGTACGATTATAAAAATACCTAAAACTTATTTTGGACTTGTGTAAAAGTAACTTTTTAGAATTAAAAGACATTTTTGTCTTTATATTTATGCTGCTCTTATACTTCTCTCTATATATTCTTTGTACTTCCAAGTTAGTTTTTAATTATTTATTTTAATATTTTTTAAGTGAAAATAATTTTTAACAGTTTTTATAATATTTTTAATTTTTAATATTATTTTTATTTTATATTTACATAAATTATAAAGAGTATATTATCTAATTAATTATGTAATATGATTCTTGTAAATTCATATTTTTAATCATTTTTCCTTATTTAATAGAAGTTATACCTATTTTTGTCATTTTACAAACTAAACTTATTTATTCAATCATAATCCAATCAACTTTTTTACTTTAGAAACTAACTTTTATAAAAACCAATTCAAATATAAATCATATTATCCAATCTCATTTTTCTAAAAGTCAGATTGAATATAAGTTATTTTTTCTATCGCTAATCTAAACGGAGCCACTATATGATATTTGCACTACAAATATAAGTCTTATATTTATTACATAATATTATATGATAGTGATAATAGTGCCTTTTTCTTTTTCCTTTTACCAGGAATAGAGAAAATAATGTACTGTTTTTGTTTGGGTCTTTGTATCTCACACACACGTATTTAATATATACTTATTTAATTGACATAATATGGTCCCACACTAGTTTTTGAAAGAAAAAATGTTGCATAAATTCAAAATATTTTATGTACACGTACATGAATCATATCGGTCATTAGTGGTTCGTAATATGGTTTTATTGAAAATAATTGGCAAGCGAAGCGTCTATATATATGACATTTTTTAAAAAAATTCTGCCGGGGGATATAGAAATCATTTTATTTTCACCATAAAATATTTTTCACACAGAATCTTGGGATGTACATCAACATTGTGGTCTTAAATAATGTTATTTTTATTTTATATACTTGTAAAAACTATCATCATCAATTTTTTGATTAATCAAACCATAAGATTAGTTTAAAAATTACTCTTATTGTGGCACACGACTCCCACAGATGTAGTGATCACATTGACTAATCCAATTAATTGAAAAGGTTACGGAAAGCATATCACGTAATGAAAACGATTGGATTGACGACAATGTGATTATCATTTAAAAAGACACAACTCATGTGAAGCCACTTCGATTAATCAATCCAATTAAGACTTAAAGGAAAAAGGAGTTTCAATTGGGCAGATTGGATTAAACATAGAAAAGGATTAAATTAACACGATGATCTAGGCACGATGCGATTTATGTAGCCTCAACTCCTATTAAATTTTATTCATATATTTTGGTCTGTGAAATAGACAAAGACAATACAATATTTAGTTCGTTGGTATGAAACAAGTAAATAGTTCTGTCACCTAATTTTTCATTACTCACATGCTTAATTAACCAAAATTATTATTTCTTCCTATGCTAAATGTAAGACTCATTTTGTAGTGTAATTTATATTACAAAATGAATATTATTTTTCATGAGCATGTAATTATCACTTTTGTGTAACAAATCTAATGCATATTGAGTCATTCCATGCAATTTTAATGAACGATTCGAAAAATTCAATTGATTCAAGCTGAAAAAATATGACTATATTTTAATTTTTTGGGTTAAAGAAACTCATTAGTAATTCATTAATATGATCTATAGCTATATTGTTTTAAGATTTTTTCCATCGTTGAATATTTTAAAATATTTTTCACATGATCATAGATTCATAATCGTAATTTATGAATAAGGGTAGTTCAATTATAGAGAGATAGATTGATAAAGATTGTTGGCTGGAAAAAATGATTTAGAGATCTGAAATCTGGACCTTGAGGAGTCAATAAATGCAGGGAGGTCCCCTGCTGAGATATAAACCAAATATCCGCAAATAATGAATTTTTCGCGGAATATCACACGAATATAGAAATTTGAAACTTAGATTGATTTATTTATAAATAGAGAAATATCCGAGCATGATGTGGGTGTGAAATGACTTTGCATAATTTTAAATTATATATTAGTTTATAAGTTAAATATATTAGTTTGGAAAAAATATACTTCTTCGGACTTTAATATAAGACCTATTTAACTAATTTGAGTAGATTAAGAAAGTTAGGTAAGTTAGTTAATTATAAGCAATATGACATGTTTTTCCTAAAACACCATAATCATCTTCCTTAATACCCTCTCTCCCTCTTTACTTGATTATGGTTGATGGAGTATCAATAAAGGTAATTTAAAAAAAAATGATAAATATAAGAAATAGATATTATATTTAGGACTAAAATCAACTCAACAATTAGGTTCTATATTAAGGATTATAAGAGTAATAACCATGAGAGATAAAAAGAGGATAAGTCTTCCCCTTGGAAATACTGTGTTTCGAATCTGAAATGTGGGGGTTTGGTGGAAACGTAGTCGCCAAGAAAAATGGAAACACAAGCTAAGGCAACATGAGAAATTGAGGTCCATATGGTTTTTGTAATAAACATGGTTGAATGTTTCTGGAAGGAAAAGACCGTGAGGAAGTAAAGAGAAGAAAGAATTTGATTAATGAGAGGGAGTGATGGTGATGAATGAGTTGGAAATATTGCATTTTTAATACTACCTCCGATCCTTATTATAAGATCCCGTTTGACTTTTTGTTTGGTCCTAATTATAAGACTCCAATCCATTTTGTCTCTCATATTTATACATTTTTTTCCAAAATAATCCTTCTAATAATGATAGTTCTAGCCAATATATTTAATTAGCAAGAATATTTTAGGAATGACAACACTTATTTATTATAAATAACTAACTTAACTTACTTTCTTAATCTCTTTAAATAAGTCAACTGGGTCTTATAATTAGGATCAGAGGTAGTATGTGATTTTGTTTGTACAAGGAAAGTAATGTAATCAAACATAAGAAATTTGGGTGCTCTATAAGATATTTTTGGTCACCATAACAACAATGAATCCAAGTCGCACTTGGTCGCATTTTTTCTATGGTCACCCAACTTTAAAAAAAAAAACCAATTTAAACTTCAGTGGCAGAATCAATTCTAATAAAATTTTTCATCATTATTTTATTACTTATCTGTTAAAAATTATTTACCGACGGAATTGCTATGTTGTTAATTTTTCGAATACCTTATTTTAGTTTTGTGATAGAAAAGTCTCTTGCAAATATTTCCATCACTATTCTACCGCAAGTTTTTAACTAGTTGTATAATATTTTCTATATTTACATACTAGTATAATTTATTATTATATCACAAATCAATAATTTAATAATTATTATTTACTATTTGAAATAATTCATATATTAATAATTCAAATTACATACTTAATTATTGTCATTTAAAAATAAAAATTTTCTCTAACAAATAATACAATATAGTATAAAAATAAAATAAGTAGTATACAAATAAAATAGGTCATATTAATAGATAAAAATAATATTAAATAAATATGTATATTTAAATAATATACTTATTGATATATGCGTATGCGTAGCTAAATGTCATGTGCTTTTATATAATTACTTGAATTTTTTTAAATTAAAAATCTTATGAAACTAGATATCATTTAGACAGTTTCAATTTTATAATATTTAAATTTTAATTTTAATTTTTGAAGAAGTCAACTACAAAACAAGAACAATATTTTTAGTATCATTTAAAAATATTAATTTAAATTAATAATGATATTTAAATAGTTCGTATCAAATATAAACAATAAGAAGGGGACTACTTTAAATCCACATTCTTCGCAACTCAAGGGATGGAAGCTTCCATTACTCACACTTATTAGTTGGCAGCACTCGCAGTTTTGCTAATAACATTTTTGATAGGAGAAGATACTTGCACAAATATTCTGGCGTCAAACTCGTAGTAGCAAGTAGCAAGGCATAAAAAGATGAACACTTTTTTCATGGTGGGAAATGAATTCAATTCGTTAGGACAGTAAATTCAATACATAAGTGTCAGTAAAAAAAAAACGGATGGATTTTAATTGAGGAAAGGAGAGTGGAGGAGAGTGGAAGGATTTTAATATTATTTGTTTGGATTTATAAAAAAAAGGAAGGGAAGAGGTTTTAATATTACCTTATTTGATTCACGAGGGGAGAAGAGGGAAAATATTTTCACATGGACAAATTTGCCCTTATTTATTTAAGATTATTTTTTCAAATTTTATAGAATGTTTAATAAAATAGAATTATAAATAACATTTAATATATTGAGCAATACTTATATCACAATTCTAATATACTCTAGAGCATGCAGTATTATTGAAAAGAAAGTTGAAGTAATGTTCAGTCATAACTTGTATTATATTTCATCTTTAAATGAAATATTTGATCATGTAAAGAGAGCAGTGTTTGGAGACAAGAAGAAAAGGATTCAAGATAATAGAGGGATATTAAAAATAAATATGGTTATAATGGTCATAACATGATAAAACACTGTCATTTCCCTCCAAATCCTCCTAATTTTAGAGGGGAGGGGAGGGGAGAGAAAATTTAAATTTTCCTCTCCTCTTAAAATTTGTATATTGCCAAATAAGAAGAAATGATTAAAATCCTTCTCCTTCTGTTCCCTCCTCTCTAAATCTCTTATATCAAATGCACCCTGAGGCTCCACGTTGGAACCTACTAACCAAGATGGGGCGGGTGGACGTGTACAAGGTAAAAGAGCCTTCCAATCATAATTACCTGAATGGAGTCAATGGGCGATCATGAAGGCCCATGGCTTAAGTAGGTGACTTCATTGCCCCTTTAAAAGGTGCATACCTTCAGGGAAGGGAACCAAGTCGCAGATAAACTCGCTACTATGAGTAACGAAATGAACCAGAGAAGACTCGTTTGGAGTACGCCGCCGGATTGGGTTGAAGAACTGGTCAAACTTGATGCTGCTGGGTTTGAAACCCCAAGAAGAATAGTTGTAATGTAACTGTTGGGCTTGGCCCCTTTATTTCACCAAAACAAAAAGGTGCCTGCTTAAGGTCCCCTCAAGTAGGATAGCCTAAATCATAATTTGTGGCAATCAATGCAAGCCGCTTTCTGAAATTACATTAAAAGTCTGTTTGGCTCAATAAAAAGAAGAGAAGGAGAGGGATTTTAATGGAAGGAAGAAAAGGAAAGAGAGTGAAAGATTTTAATATTACCTTATTTGGATTTATAAAAAAGCGAGGAGGAGAGGAGTTTTAATATTATCTTATTTGATTCATGAGGTGAGGTGAGGAAAAAATATTTTGACATAAACAATTTCACTCTTATTTTATTTAAGATATAGATATAATGATTATCACATGACAAAATATGGACATAATGGTCACAACATAATAAAATATTATACTTTCCTTCCAAATCCTCCTAATTTTAGAGAAGAGATTGGGGAGGGGAGGGAAAAATTTTTAAAATTTTCTCTCCCCTCTTCAAATTTGTGTGTTGCCAAACAAGGAAAAATAATTAAAATCTTTCCCCCTCCCTACCCTTTCCTTCAAATCCCTCGTACCAAACACACGCTAAAGGGTTTGGTAGCCTGTTGGAGACAAATGATATTTTGATTGTGATTGGCAAGTTACATAATTTAGCTTCATTAGATAGATTCCAAGGGCTGATACGCATGAAGATAATGCAAACCCATAAAAAACAAACAATTAGCACATGAAACAGGAAAATAGATTCAAGAAAAAGAAAACTCCAGAATAAAATTTTAGGTGAGGCTGCTATTATCATGTATCTCATTACAAAGGAACAAAAAACAGGTCTTGGGATAGTTCCCCTGAAACTGTTGAATCCCTGATTCATCGATTTCAACTCTCCTGCTCTGCAATCTCTATTTAATATACTACCATGCGGGCGCTGTATCACCATTAATTTCTTTCCAAGTCAGATCTTTTTCTTCCTTCCTTCTTTTTTAACTGTTTTGGTCGTCAGTGGTGATCCCCATTTTTACTATAGGGGATCACTTGACATGGCTAAAAGGTGAGGAAGGAGGCAGCGTCAATCAATATCTCTTGCTATTCAAGTTCTGATGCCACCTTTAGCAAGATGATCTTAAATACGATTGATGTCTGACGAACGTTTCTATGTATCTTCACATTAAAGAACCCGTATCTGTCCCCCATATCCAAAGTTCTTGAGAAGCCCTTCATCTTGTCGCCAGTTTTCTCTCACCTTCACTTCAATCTGTTTAGACAACCGAGCTTGGTAATTAAGTTCCAGTCCAAGAAAAGTTCATATAGGTAGTACTTCACTAACACTTGAAGCTTGATGAGATTATTAAAGGAAGCACCAAAATGATGCAAGATCTGGTCATCTGGCTAAACTGAGCCACACACACAAACACACATTGCAAAATGGTATGAGCAATCACCTCAAGATAAACTTTCTTCTGCAGAAAGGCTTCAATGTCCAGACGGGCAGCTGTCGCAAGAAGTTTCAAAGCCTTTCCCTCCTGAACAGGTTAAAGCACAAAACTCAAAAGAAATTACTGTATTGTGCTTGTTATGAAGCACATAAAGGCATGTGCATGGGGAAGAGGCATATTTAGAAACCATTTAATTTTCAATCTGTCAACAGAAATTCTTGACATTTATATTTAAGATTTTTATTGTATTGTGATCCATGCCAAGATATCTTTTCAGCCAATGTTTCTCAAATTCAGTGTTAGTCAGAATAGATCAAAACTCAAAACTGACGCTGAAGTAGCCAAGCCCACAATAGCATCATTAGCATTGTTCAATACATTATGCCTAGACCACATGAACCCCAGGATTTCCACAAATGAATATGAATTATGGAAATCTGATATAAGTGACGTACTCTTCCAATAAGTATAATCTTCTGTGAATTTTTTTCAACAACAATCTCCACTTGTATGAAATCTTTTGCATTGGGCCGAGCCTTGTAGCTTACAACATTCACCTGGACAATAGAAAATAAGATTATTTTAAACAAATCTAAGAAAACAAGTTGTTTAATTCTTCTTCTTTTTTTCCCCCCTTTTCCTTTCTCCTTTGCTCTCCTTTCTTAACTTTTTCTTTTTCATTGAAATAAGGCAACTACATCACAACCAAGCATGAACTATTTGATGGTTACCTGGCAAGCATAGGGTATTTCATTTCGGTACTGCATAAAGATCTTTTCTCGAATGATTTCACCACCACGAAAAATCTTTCTGGGTGCTCACTGACAATGTCCTGAAGGATCAACAATACTAAGGAAAACATAATACATGCCAGAGACAATCATATATAATATATATATATATATATATATATATATAGACATTAATTTTCCTGTGCTGATAGGATTTTGAGAATTTTTGCATTATTTTGGTTTAGACCAGAAAACTGCAAGGCCAAAACCTAGTTTTGAGAAAATGATAACTGGACAGATATTAAGTTTCTTCATAAAACAGAGGTCAATAACTGTTACTTTACAAAAGAAAAGGATTGCAATCAACAAATCCATCAAATAGCAACATTCCACAAACATCAAGAAACGTAAGCCTTCAACTCATTATTGTCTAAGACATCGCCAGGTTTTCATCTAATGTTTCCAGTTTCCAGTTCTGCAGTGTATAGGCACAATTCTCTCTTTCTCTTCTTGTTTTTTTTGTTAACAAAAAAAGAAATCAGAAAGGCAAGCACTAATGGCCTGAGATCATAAACATGACCAAACCTCCACCTACAGTATTTGTTCATGCTGGTAGGCTACAAGGCTATTGCCAATGTATAGGCACTATATAATTCATAATTGTCACTGATACCCCCCCCCACCCCCCCCCCCCCCCAAAAAAAAAAAAACCCAAGGCCACCCCAACCCATGTGACTGCCACTGTTTCTGCAATTGCATGCATGTTTTGTGCACTGCATTGGTGGACAGAGACATAAGATGATAGGATGCCAAATTGGTGTGCTAATAACAATGCACTGGCGGACAGAGGTTGCCCAATACAATGCACGTTTTGAGTTCAACTAACTTATATTTTAGTTTTAGAACTGAATGCTTTCGCTGAATTTCCATGCTGTCAGGCATTTAATAGCACAAGAAAAATCCTCACTGTCCTTTTGAACAATTATAATGCATGGACGGAGGATTGAGTGGCAAAAGTGAAATTTTGACTTTCAACATACCTTTGGATAGTATGCTGGTCATTGGGAAGTTTTGACAGTATCCAGTCCTTGACATCTTCAACGCCATGACCATATTTAGCACTAACTGGTATAACCTCATCAACATCAGTATATTTCTGATACCACTGCAAAGAATGCGAAATACTTAGGACATAAAACAGTGTTGAAAGCACACCAATACAAGTAAATTCACTTGCACCAGTCAATATCTATACCAATCAATGAGTTCGAACCTCAAGTTTTTTTGCAATTTCCCAGGTTTGATAAGATCCTTCTTATTAAGAATCAGTAGGGTGGGAGGCTTATCCTTGAGATCTCCTACACCTTCATTCAACACTTCATCAATCTACAAGTAAGAAACAATTAGAAAAATAAACACAATAACAAAACAAAAACAGTTTTGAGAACCCTGAACTATATACATTTTCAGGAACTTTACACGCATCAACAAGAATTAATACACAATCAGCATTAACAGCAGCACTGCGAACATTCTTCATCATCATTGAATCCAACATGTGCATTTCCTTCTTGAGAACGCCAGGTGTGTCATAAAGTATTATCTGCCAGTAATCCTCAAGTCAGAGAAACAAGTATTAAAAAATTTGGCTA